TCAAACACAGGTCTGTCTGACTCCAAATTCCATGATCTTAAACTATTACTTGCATGGCCTCCATTGGTTCAATTGTCCAGGGTGAGCTTTTTCACAATTCTTTCTAGTTAGGTCTTCAGGATAGTAAAAGTTAGCTCAGGTTACCAGTGACTACAGATTATCTATGCTTCTCAGGTTTATATTTTACTTCTCACCAATCCTGAGTAGCAGCGTTTTCATTCATTTTAATAATATTTTCCCCCTGTAGGTCTCCCCCAAGCTAATTTTGCAGACCATATTTCTCATTTTGTAAGAAAAGGGCATGCAGAATATTACAATATCTTGGTGTCCTAATCTTAATATTTTTAGGTATTTGGAATTATTCTTATCAAGTATAGGCAAGAGAAGGCAATCAGTGGTTGGTGAGGAGATTCATCAACTCTAGGAATTGGCATGCAGATACTGGGCAAACAAGAGTCATGCAAAAGAGCCATCAGCCACTTGATTCTGTCATCCTGAAGTTAATGTTCTTTGTGTTTATGGGAGAAAATTTTACTCATAGTTTGGAAAAAGGGAAATAATGTGACCCCAATATGATCAGAAAATCCTAGAAAATGTTTTTAAATAGTAGATCTCACTTTTTCTAGCATTTCTACGATAAGCACTGTGACTTATACAATGAATAAGAGCTATTAGGGCTTTTAAATGAACTGTTAGATAGCATATAGCAGGATACAGAAATTTCAAGTTGCTGTGTTTTCTAGCTGAACCCATGTCATTGAACTGACACTGGTGTGAGTCCAGGGGCTCAGCTGAAACCTTAACTGGAAAAAAAAAATCAAAGGAAACTGGACTAGAGTGTAATTTACATGTTCAAGTCACAGCGGGGTGGACCTTCTTTCTTATAAAAATGTGATTCATATTCTGGCATTCTAAAACAATGCAAAAAAAAAACAGGGAGGAAGAACACTGTCAGTAAAGGAAGGGAAGCATAAAACAGGGCTGAGTACATAAGGAAGTAGGTATAGTGTCATATAAATAGGATGCCAAATGAGGGGAGATGGTGTGCAGAGAGACCGATTACAAGGGATAAGCTTGTGAGATAGTGAATATGTGGTTATTTACCTCTATCTCTATCCGCCGGATATCTATATCTATCCACCAGATTAAGGAGGAGGCAAAGGAAGAAGCAGAACTAAGCATGGGATTCCTAAAAGCTGGTATGTATTATCACATCTATGTTTCAAAGCTTTCTCTGCTGTTACTCTCCCCTTTCCCAGGAAGGCAGTGGCATGGGATTTATGATATTGAGGGGGTAAGAAAGGTCTGGCTTTAACAAGTGAGATACCCTTGTTCAGTTCAAGTACTTATAGAGTGCTAGGTATTGGGAATACAAAGATGAATAAGATACTACCCCTCTATTGTCTTATATAACAAATAGGAATAAAAAATTAATTAATCAAAAGAAAGGGGAAAAAAAAAGATACTACCCCTGACCCCAAGGAACTTCAAAATGGAGAAAACATGTTAAAAAAACAGATTATAACACAAATGAAAAATTCAATATGGATATTTACAAGGTGCTATGGCAATACAGAAGGGCAGCATGTTTAAGCCTGAAACAGGGGAGGATTAGAATCAGGGAATACTTTGCAAAGAAGCTTTGAACATCAAGTAGGACTTGTGTGAACATGAATAGGACAGCATGGAAGTGGGATTATAGGGGCAGAATTAAGAGTCCAGGGAGGAAGAACATTGTCAGTAAAGGAAGGGAAGCATGAAACAGGGCTGAGTACATCAGGAAGTAGGTATAGTGTCATATAAATAGGATGCCGAATGAGGGAAGATGGTGTGCGGAGAGACTGATTACAAGGGATAAGCTTGTGAGATAGTGAATATCCAATTCTAGTTTCTGGAAAAAAGCTGCTAATAAAGAATTACACAGTACATAAGATAAAATATAGAAAAAATGAAATCAGAAAAAAACAAGACAATGGGTCTGAATAAAAGTGGTTCAAAGAGCCAAGAGCCAGACTTGGGCTGTGAGGATTTGGTTCTCCTGTTCTTCAAGCCACAGTGTGTGTTTCCAATTCATCCATTTCCCACTCCTGAGTTTGATTTGGATATGTATAGAAGGAAACAGAAAAGGTGACTGAATGCAGAGGACAAAAAAAAAAAAGGCTATAGAATAGGTATTTAAGTACTTGGGTCTTCATTTGCATGTTTTATAAACATCCAACATACACAACCTTTGGATCTCCTTCCACACAAATCTGTGATACAGAAAGCCTCTTCATCTGGGTTGTCTTTGAATGATAATTGTGTGTCAATGTATGTTCAAATTGATAATTATGTGTCAAAGTGATAATTGTGTGTTGATGTAGATTCAGTGTAGCAAAAATGACCAGTCAGATGAGAGGTGTTGACAGTGGAGGAAGCTATGCATGCCAGAAGGGGGTGGATGGGAAACTTTTGTTCTTCCTCTCAGTTTTGCTGTGAACCTAAAACCACTCTAAAACTTAAAGTGTGTTAAAAAAAAAAAAAGTCAAATGGTATCACCCAATGCCCTGCACAACTCCCCTTTTTCAGCCAGATTAAAATCTGAAATTCTTTATGAATGGCTTCAGAAGCTTTGCTCCAGCTATTCTGTCTAAAATACTCTTTCCTAGTAATCTACTCAGCTAACTCCCTCAGCTTCTCAAGTCTTGGCTAAAATTTCACTTCACTAAGAGAGGGACCCTATTTACCTTAGTTAATATTGTAACACACTAACCCTAACCCTATTTTACTTTTTTCCCCAAAGCCCTTATCTCTTCTAATATAATATTCAATGTGCTTATTAGTTTTATTGTTTAATTTCTTGTCTGCCCCCATAGGATGTAAATTCCACAAGGGATTATTTTTGGTTCACTGATGTAGCTGCTTAGAACACTTAAGTGTTGAACAGATGAATGATCAAATATCTTCAGTTGAAAGTTTCACTTTCCTGTATTCAAATCCCCCCCACCCCCGCCTTTTTTTTTTTTTTTTTTGGTACTGGGGATTGAAACCTGGGGTGCTTTACCACTAAGCTACATCCCCAGTTCTTTTTATTTTAAGACAAATTCTCAATAAATTGTTGATGATCTTGCTAAATTGCCAAGATTGGCCTTGGATTTGGGATTCTCCTGCCTCAGTCTCCCAAATTGCTGGGATTAAAGGCATGTACCAACCAAATTTTACATTTTTAAAAAATATTTTTTAAGTTGTAGATGGATACCATACCTTATTTATTTTCTTTTTTTATTATCATTTGTTTCAATTAGTTACACATGACAGTACAGTGATCTTGACATATCATACATTTGAATCAAATGGGGTATAATTACTCCTTTTTCTGAGTGTACAGGTTGCTGAATCACATTGGTTGTACAGTCACGTATATACATACAGCAATAGTACTGTCTATTTTATTCTGCTGTCCTTCCTGTGCCCCCTCCCCTCCCCTCCCCTCCCTTCTCTCTACCCAATCTAATGTGACACACTTCTTTTCTTTTTTTTTCCTTCACATCGTCATACATATGTAATCTGTATAATGATGAGGGTCTCCTTCCATCTTCCGTGCAATTCCTATTCTCCCTCCCTTTCCCTCCCCTTTCCTCCTTTTACCTCTCTTTCCTATCTAGAGATAATTTTCTTCTCATGCTCTTCCTCCCTACCCCATTGTGAGTCACCTCCCTTACATCAGAGAAGACATTCGGCATTTGTTTTTTTGGGATTGGCTAACTTCACTTAGCATAATCTGCTCCAATGCCATCCATTTCCCTGTAAATGCCATGATCTTGTTATTTTTTTAGTGCTGAGTAATAACTCAATCAACAAATGGGCCAAGGACCTGAACAGACACTTCTCAGAAGAGGATATACAATCAATCAACAAATACATGAAAAAATGCTCACCATCTCTAGCAATCAGAGAAATGCAAATTAAAACTACTCTAAGATACCATCTCACTCCAATAAGAATGGCAGCCATTATGAAGTCAAACAACAAGTGCTGGCAAGGATTGGGGGGGGGGGGAAGGTATACTCATACATTGCTGGTGGGACTGCAAATTGGTACAGCCAATTTGGAAAGCAAAACTGGGAATGGAACCACCATTTGACCCAGCTATTCCTCTTCTCCGACTATACTCAAAAGACCTAAAAACGGCATACTACAGGGACATAGCCACATCAATGTTTACAGCAGCACAATTCAGCTAGACTGTGGAGTCAACCTAGATGTCCTTCAATGGATGAATGGATAAAAAAAAGTGGCATTTATTTTATTTATTTTTATGTAGTGCTGGGATTAAACCCAGTGCCTCACACATGCTCGGCAAGTGCTCTACCACTGAGCCACAAGCCCACCTCAAATTTCTCATTTTTATTATATGGCAGAAGCTAGTATTGAGAAACTGAGAAATAAGTCCAATGCACTTTAATTCCTTCACTGAATGACAAAGAAAAACAAAAATCTCCCTAGGGCATAACCTTGGAGAGGGGAGACAGCTCTGTGAACTTTTCTTCTAAGAAGACCCTAAGGAAGAGAGGAATTATGAAGATGACACATGTTGTGTCAATCTGAATTTGATTAAATAGCTACATGTTACTAATAGCTACTATATTGGACAGTGTAGCTCAGATTTAACAAAGAGCCATTACAATTCCTAAGCCTGAAGAGGTTAAGAAAAATGATCAACTTCTGACACTTGTAGCAATGCAGAATTAGAGCACTATCTTACAGCAGAGGACTATAGTATGATAAAATTTTAGCCTTTGAAGAATGTTGCTACCACCAATCTGCTGGGAATACCTGATTCAGTCTTTCTGCCCCTATTCCCCTCTTTTAGTGTCTCTGACTAACAGGAATCAATAAAAAAACTAGAGGACAAGAGAATTGATTGATGCAGTCCATCAAGATAAAGTGGACACAGAACATAGGGATGGATAGATAGTGTAAGGTAGAGTAGATCTGGAATAAAACATTATTATACCATGTACATTATGAATTGAGGCATCAAATATCTGGTTTATTGGCACTTATAAATCTAAATAAATATAAAACAAGTAGTAAAAAATAATCAAAACATGGTTTTCAATAGTCATACAACATTTCTTGTTAAAACTGAATTGTTCACTTAAAAGAACAATACCTTAATCAAACTTTATGTTCACTTAGATTTCATACACAAAGAATTAGGTTAATACCATGTTCCCCATATTCCTCTGACTATATTCAACTTGTATTCTACCAAGAATCTGTGTGCAACTTTTTCTAAGGTATATTCTCAAGTCACAAAGCCTAGGTATAGGAAATTTTGTATTTATCTTAGTATAAAAGCCACTGTAAGTCAATAAATGGCTAAACTAAGATTTGAAGATTCGTAGAAGTTCAATAAACTGGACATGAATGCAAAGGCCCTTATTCTGGGACTGTATCGTTGTTACAATATATATATGTGTGTGTGTATATATATATATATATATAATCATCTGTCTGATTGTTGGTATGTATCTTAATACCCTTTTTCACTTTCTTCACTTAATAGGGCTAAGGAGGAAAACAAAGAGGAAGGAGGAAGGAGTAGCAACATCTATAGTCAGATTCAAGTCTAATTTGTAGAAACCTATATTGTCTACTTTAGTGGGTCATGAATAGATTAAGAGTCCATAGTCTTTACTGCCCAACACTTAAGGAAGAAATATCTAATGTCACTGTATGGGGGTTGAAATAAGTACCAAAGGAAAAGCAATTACCCCCACCTCCAAGGAGCAAGAGCTGTTGCTCTTCAGGAAGGAGGATGCTAGTATGGTTGTGTAACATTAATGGCCGCGGCACACATGTTGTGTCAATCTGATACTCAGAGCTCAATCCTGTAGTCAAATTGACAACAGTCACTCCCGGGACTAAGGAAGAATGAATCCAGATCCCTCCTACCAGTAGAAGCTTTTCATTGAGTACATGAGCTGTGTGGGAGTACCTTGGGGTAATAGGAGGTTGGATATCTATTGATTCCCAGAGAAATCCACAAGAGATTGGCCTCAGAAAGAGTACAGAGTTCAATGGCTCCTCAGAAGCCCCAAGACCTCCAGCAATAAGGGCTCCCCCTTGCCAACTGCAGGCACTGTGGGAATGCCTAGCTTCAGGTGCTTCCCCTTCCACCGGGATCTTGACCGAAGCCATTGTCCCTACATGCAAGAAATGCCAGTCACTTAGTACAGGTTCTAGCACACTTCGACCCCCATATACAAACAAATATTTCTGATTCTTATAGGACACTTCAGTTGTTGAATGCCGCCAACAAGACAAAGTGAAATTTCCTGGACCAGCCCTTGTTACTGTCACATTCAGGCTCTCAGTGCTATTATCTTCATTTTTAAATAAATGAATCTGTAGAGGGCTCAAGGCTGGATTTACTGGGGACAGTCTCCCTCCCAGAACCAAAACCTGAGTATCTGAAAGTCTTGTCATGGTGTGATAAAGACGTCCATCCCACTGGGTTCCCGTCCCACAACTGTCTATATGGAAGCCTTTCCATTCAGAGTCACTATTTCTTGACAGCAAGTGAAACTTGTTCACTCTGCAGTGCCGCCTCTTCTGTTCTCCAAATCCTCCTGCACTGAGAATAATGCCAGAGCTCAGGAGGACAGAAGCATGGCCGAATGTTTTAAGAGTTGAGCCCTGATTGTCATTAGTGACTATTCTGGCATCGAAGACTCCTGAAGGTGAAGCAGGATCTACTCGAGGAAATACCTCTGCGGGTGGAAACACCAGAGTCTGGGACAGGGTGTCTCCCCTAGAGGCTGCCAAAACGAAGTAGTGGGCACACTTAAGATGCCACTCCTCAAACTCATCAAAGGGTTCAAGATTTTCTATCCGCCAGCGTTCCTCTGCGGGGAGAAAGCAGTGATAGAATTCATTCATGTCCATGGCACTACAGGCAGTCCAGCCAGCTTGAAGGAAGCGGCACCGCTGGGCCTCCACATCTGGAAAGCTGTCCAGGCCATGAAGGGGGGAATTCAGCTGCTGAAAGTGTTGCAGCATGAACTGCCCAAATGCATCTTGAGGCTTCATTTGCTCATAGACCACAAAAAGGGCATCAGGAAAACGTCGGGCTGCCCAGGCAATGAGGGAGGCAGCACTAACCGGCTCGAGGTAGGTCAGCACCGCCTCGGCCAGGAGCAGAGTGGGTGTGGTCACGTCCAAGCCCGCGGAGGCCAGGGCCTCATCCAATTCCTGGAGCTGCCTTAGGTCCAAGCCCAGGATGTGGTAGTCCAAGCTCTCAAAGCACAGCACGGACGCGGGACTGCCCCTCTGGAAAGGCCCAGTTAACGCGCACAGTTCCGGTGTCTCTGCAATTCTCTCGGCTTTGCGCCGCGCCACATCCGGGAAATCCACTTCCCATACTGCAGCCCTGGCCAGGAGGCCATCGGTTTTGAGGCAGAAATACAGAGAGTCAGAACCCGCGCCCAAAGACAAGATCTGCGAGCGAGGCGCCTCAGGGTACGCGCACGCTCGCCTCAGAAAGGCGTGTACACAATGCCGCACCGCGCGCGCACGGACGTAGTAACCTCTGTGAATAAGCGGCGCGCGGCGCGCGGTCCCCGGAACCAACAGCGAGACGAAGGCGTCCTGCACGTACCCACGCGCGGCTAGGGAACTCTTGCTGAGAGCGCTGCTGTCATTGGTACTCTGTACTGCTCCTGCCCGCCGCTCCCGGCTCCGCGGGCCCATGGTCAGGAGAAACTCAGGAACGGCTTCCGTCACACTCGTGAACCGCTCTGCTGTTCTTTAGTACAGATCTCACGCCCCTCGGTACCGAAAACTACCCCTCCTCCAGGTCACCCCCTCATGTACGAGTTACGTCACTTCCGGGAAGAGTGCAGCTCTCCAATCAGGATTGAGGAGGGTGTTACTTGTTTTAGAGTTCAACTGTGAATGACCTTTCTATAATTATCCGAATTACGTTTCCTCAAGAAGACACCCTGCTACCTCAGTGACAGCGTGTGTAGGGGAGAGCGGGTTGTCACCTTTCTCCCACTCTTTCAGTCTGAGGGGAAACTACCTGGGCCCTAATAGTTGAGACATCTCTCAGAGGTGAGTGTGGGAACTGACGACCTGATTTCCTTGCATGGCGAAGGAAGGATTTAGTAGGGGCGAAGAAGGGTCAGCACCACGGACTTTGGAGGGCAAGAAGAAGTCGTTTCTTGGATGCTAATGATAGTTGCGAATTTATTCAATGCTTTCGTCGTACAAAAGAGAGCCTGTTTAAAATCTAAAATCGAGCCATATGGAAAGTGCAGAAACAGACCTTTACAGATAATTAGTAAATATTTATAACTGCCCCCCACAGATATATACTATTGATTACCTTGTATTCCTTGTGCTAGGTTAAGAATGAGTAAAAGACTCACCCTCTGTTTCTCATCTATAAAATGTTACTCCCTTTCACTTCCGAAATTCTGTAACTCTAAAGTGATATTGAGTATGTCCGTGAAAGGTCATGGAAGAGAGATGATTATTTCCTGTAACATGTTATAAGCCTGCTTTTAAGGAGGAAATCCAGGTTATATTTTAAAATAAAGTTTCCAAATTGGATGTTTAGCAGTCACCAATAAGAAACTGCTTTTAGAAGTATTGAGGAGATTTATAATTTATTAATTTTATGACAGGCTGAAATAGAGAAGGAAAACAGGATGGATTTCAGTATATTTAACTCCAAGCAGTAGCACATAATGCTTAAGAGCATGAGTTTTGGAGTCCAGCTCATTTGCATACTAGAGTCAAGAAAAAGCTTAGATCAGGATGAAGATTTGATAATTGAAAAATATAATTTAGCTCTAGGGCTTAAGAGCTCATAAATGACCTTAGGGAGAAACAGTTTTTGTGCAACAATCAGGGCAGAATCCATGTTTCAGTGAATAAGAGATAAGTTAATGGAGGCATCTAGGCTAAATTATACTTTCAAGGAGCTTAATTCAGCAGGAGAAAACAGCAGTAGTAGCTAATGAAGAAAGTGAGATAAAAGTTGAGTCCTCCCCCCCTTCTGTTTTCAGGTGGAAGCAAATACATGCTGCATATGCATGTTGTTCCCCTGAAGGAAATCAGCTATCAGAGAGGGACAAGTTGAAGAAATTGAAAAATGAGATGATAACTCATTGGTGGAGTAACAACTTGGAATAGATAGGAAGAAGTGGGACCCAGAACACATTAGCATTTTTCTCTGACTCAAAAGAATATGGCTAAAGATAAGTTTAGAAGAGATTAAGGCAGAGAAAAATAGAAGGAATTCATACTTAATGTTTTCTATTTTCTCTGTAGAGTTGGTGGCAGTTTAGTGTAAGCTGGATGGATCTGGTGGAACACTTGATTTTTGAATTGCCTTTGAAGAGATTGTGAAAAAGGATTCACCTAAGGCTTCTGGTTCTTTGGAGCCTCATCTCTAAAATGAGGGGCGTAAGTGTTGTTCTTGAGGTATCTCAGAGTTGATTCAGGCCAGTTGGGAAAGAAAAAGAATAATTGAAGGACTTTGGGGAAAAAAAAATCTAGCTTGGTAGAAACAAATTTATTTAATGACAAGTTAGTAAAATAGATGCCATGTTTAAAATACTACTTTTTTTTTTTTGCAAAGAGCAGAGCAAGAAAAATATTAAGAAGAAAATGGAGCAAAACTATGATTTGGGTACCTTATGAGTGTTTTTTTAAATCTCAGTTTATGTAAAATGGAGAGAATAATACCTCATGAGTTGTGAGGATTTAAAAAAACTTTCTAAGATACTTAACACAGTGCCTTTCTCATAGTAAGTACATAATAAATAGTAACAAATATTTTTATGATTCTGAGTTCCCTTTTTGGAAGGGGTGGCAGTATGAAAAATGTTCCCTGGGAAATAGGAAATTTGGTTCTGGTACTGCACTAACTCAATGAAATACCACTAATGTAGAAAGATCTTACCCCAATGTTCATTGCCTTTTAGATTCTCTCCCCCACCCCAGTTTCTTCTGACCCACACAAAAAATCAGCCCAGGAAGCATGGATTTGGCAGGGATTGGTATTGTTGGAAGCATAATCTTAGGCAAGGAACAGCATGACTGTTTGGGTGGCTTTTAGATTTCCATGATTGACATTGTTGTCAGTGGGCCAGTAAAATTTGCTTACAACTAAAGGTCTGTCTGGAGGACAGTTTGAGTGGGGTACAAAATAAATTCAGTATCCTGGAATAGAGTTGAAAGTATATGCAGAAAGTTGGCCACCTGTTAGGTTTGTTGTAGGCTTGCATTATAAAATGAGCTAAGTGCTTTTTTAGGCTGTCATTCTATTCTCTAAACATAAAATCCTTCTTGCAATTCATGATACTAAAGGTATTTCACAAGTACTGTTTTTTAAGTTATTAAAAAATCAAATATTACATGCTTTTATTTAGTTTTGCCACTTTTTAATTATTTATTCTGATTTGTTATATATGATGGCAGAATGAAATTCATTTCATATTACACATATAGAGCACAATTTTTTAAGACACTGGTTGTACACAAAGTATTTTCACACCATTTGTGTCTTATACATGTACTTAGGGTAAAGATGTCTAATTTATTCCATCATCATTCCTACTCCCTTGCCCCTCTTTCCTCTCCCTTCCCTTTGCCCTATCTAAAGTTCCTCCATTCCTCTCATCCATCCCTCCCCACTCCCACACTCGCCATTATGTGTCTTATGAGTGTTTTTTTAAATCTCAGTTTATGTAAAAATCCTCATATCAAAGAAAACATTTGGCCTTTGGATTTTTGGGATTGGCTTGCTTCACTTAGCATTATATTCTCCAACTTCATCCATTTACCTACAAATGCCAATTACATGCTTTTTGTAAGAACTTTAGGTTACACAAAAGTATATATAAGGTAAACAAAAGTAAAATAACTCTGAACCTTTCCTATTCTCAGCCTACTTTCTAGTGGTAACAATTTTCTTTGTATCCTTTCATAATTGTTTTAGGCATAATGATACAAATAAATGTTCATGCATCTATATATGAGTGTATGTATGTATATTTACATTCTGTTAATAAATGTCATCTTCCTAAATAATACATTACTTTTTGAAAGTGGCACTCTATAGTAAATCTTTGCATACAGTCATAGATAATCAGTTGATGGATATATAGTTTAGTCAGTACCCTGATAACATTTTAATTAGTTCTAGTTTTTTCCTGCTATTAACCATTCTATAATAAAATACTCGTACATATCTTATTATAGGATAAATTCCTATTAGTGGAATTAATGGGTCAAAAATATGTGGATTTTTTTTACATTGACAGATATTGCCAAATTATTTCTTAAAAAGACTATAGCAAATTCTTTACCCACTAGACTTTTTATTCATACTTTTACCAACATTGAGTATTATTCTTCTGGGATTCATAATTTTTTTCTGGTTACTTTTATAAGTTAAGTTTTCCACATGAATTTTAAAATAATTTTTTTAGGAATTTTTAAACATTTTTAGTTGCTGAATATAATAATTTTATTTTATTTATTTATTTTTTTATATGGTGCTGAGGATCAAACCCAGGGCCTTACATGTGCTAGGCAGGCACTCTACCACTGAGCCACAACCCCAGTCCTAGGAATTTTTTTGTGTGTGTGGGGAATATTTTGATTAATATTTACTTTATACCCGTTGAACTTTCCTAATCTGAAATCTGAAATGCCCAATATCTAAAACTTTTTGAGCACTGACCATGCTACAAGTAGAAAATTTCACACCATGAAACTGTTTCATGTAAAAAATTATTAAATATTGTGTAAAATTACCTCTAGACCTTATGTGAAACATGTATATGAAACAAACATTCCAAAATCTAAAACAATTCTGTTTCCAAGCATTTTGGGTAAGGGATATTCAACCTGTAAGTCAATTTATGGTAAGTTGACTTTACCTATGCAAGAGTAGGTATGATTTTGCACTTTAATGAAACAATTTACCTTATTAATCCTTAGAGCTATTCTACTTTTTTCCCATTTTTACAAATAAGGAAACTGAAGTCATGAGGCATAAGTGACATGGTCATACAATTATTAGAATGCAGCACTGGTAAAAGTCTATCTGGTATCAGTCCATCTGATACCAGCACCTCTGATATATATATAATAATTATTATTTTTTTGTGGGGATGTTGGGGTTTGAACGCAGGGTCTTGTGCATGCGAGGCAAGTACTCTACCAACTGAGCTATAAAATCATACCCAGCCCCCTTTTTATTTTTTAAACAATCAAAAATACAAATTTGCCAGGCATAGTGGTGCACACCTGTAATTCCAGTGACTCAGAGGCTGAGACAGCACAAGTTCAAAGCCAGTCTCAGCAACTTGCCGAGGCCCTAAGCAACTCAGTGAGACCCTATGTCTAAATAAAATACAAAGTAGGGCTGGGGATGTGGCTCCATAGTTGAGTGCCCTGGTTCAATCCCCAGTACCAAAAAAATACAAATTTATTTTGACTTTTATTTGAAATGGGTCTTACACAATTTCTAATATTTGAAGTAATTTTATAGAAAGTGCTAATAGGTAAGGAACATATTATTCAATTTCAGGTTTTAATATCTCTTATTAGCTTGAGGCCTTTTCCTATTTTTTGTTTGTTAATTACTGCTTACTAATCACTTCTCCACCTCATTTAAGTTAGTTTTGTAGGGACTTTTACCTTTTAAAGAAAAATTCTACTTATTCTATTTATTTGCTTATATGTCAGCATCTGAAAATATTCACATTTGTTAAAATAGGTGAAATTGAGCCCAGAGCTACATATCGAGTCAATATTATAAAAATGCATGGAAGTAAAGCATTCTGAAGAAAATCTAGGACTACAGAATTTATTTGCTGAAATACAATGTATTATTCAAATCAAGAATAAGAGTGGAGAAGAATTATTCATTTTCCCTGCTAAAATCATGGAGATAGAAGAACAACAGCAGCCATGGAAGACCAACTTTTACACAGAATTGCCAAAAGTGGTGAGAATTCTTGAATGGTTACTCATTACAATGACTTTTATTTTGTTTCTTTCCACAAAACAAAAGTAAATTTTATGGGTAGAATCTGTAAATTTTACAAGTTATGTAACACTCTAATAGTCAGTTTGCTTGATATAAGATCTTACTGATTGTATTCTCTTGTTTTAGGAACTTCATGCCCACTTAAATGGATCCATTAGTTCTAATACCATGAGGAAATTAATAGCCAAGAAGCCAAATCTTAAAATCCATGATCATATGACTATGATTGACAAGGGAAAGAAAAGAACTCTAGAAGAGTGAGTTTGGGGAGTTGTGGAAATACTTTCTTTCTTTCTTTCTTTTTTTTTTTTCCCATTTTGGTACTGGGGATTGAACCCACAGGCACTGAACCATTGAGCCACATCTCCAGCCCCTCAGACTGTTTTTGTATTTTTTATTTAGAGACAGGGTCGCACTGAGTTACTCAGGGCCTCACTAAGTTGCTGAGGCTGGCTTTGAACTAAAATCCTCCTGCATCAGCCTCCCGAGGCAATGGGATTGAAGTCACATGCCACTGTGCCTGGCTTTTTTAAAATCAGTATTTTGAGATTGTAGTAATTTAATATAATATATAAGACTTCAGATTTTAGTAGTTAAAAGAAAGAGGGTGATCATCTGGCATGGAGAATATAACTTAACATTTTCCAACTGTCAGACTATTGACAGTATTTTTAATGATTTGTGTTATTTATGAATTATGATATATTAGAATATTCTTTAGACTTGAAGTAAAGGTGTATTGATTTTTTCCATTTGCTGATACTGGCAGAAGAGGCAGGGTTAGATAATAAGGTTTTATTTTCAGTCATTTGATTATCTTTCCAGATATATATAATTTTTGAAAAACCTATTCTGTGGTTCTTTGTAAACCTAAATATATACTTACTACTAGCCTAAAATCTATTTATTAATTCAGCTTAGAGAGTTTCTCTTGAGTGACAAGTTTTTTGTGACTACCATGTCAAAACTTTTCATATTGCAGGTGTTTCAAGATGTTTCAAATTATTCATCAACTTACTACTAGCCCTGAAGATATTCTAATGGTGAGACATGAAAGAATTTTTAGAATGAGTTACAAATTATGGTTTTAGAATGGTTTAAAAATTATTGACTAATTTATGCTTTTCTGTTGTTGAAAATGACCTTTTGCTTTCAAGAGTCTGATGAGCCAGGTGCAATGGTGCATGCCTGTAATCCCAGTGGCTTGGGAAGCTAAGGCAGGAGGATTGTGAGTTCAAAGCCAGCCTCAGCAAAAGTGAGGCTCTAAACAACTCAGTGAGACCCTGTCTCAATAAAATACAAAATAGAGCTGGGGATGTGGCTCAGTGGTTGAGTGTCCCTGAGTTTAAGCCCTGGTACACTCGCCTGCAAAAGAAAAAGTGTGTGACAAATGTTTTCTTTTTTTATAGCAATTCTTTTTCAAAAATATTTTTAAGTTGTAGATGGACAAAATACCTTTATTTATCCATATTTATGTGGTGCTGAGGATCGAACCCATTACCTCACCTGCACTAGGTGAGTGCTCTACCACTGAGCCACAACCCTAGCACCTGTAGCAATTCTTTTTAAAACCAGTTTTAAGACATTTTCCTAAGACTTAATGTTTAAAAAAGAAAAAAAACCTGTTTAATGTAAAAGATATAAGGAAAGAACCAAGATCACCATGGAGGAGAAAATTTGGTCCTGTTTTCCATATATAATATATCATATGAAATATTTGACCTCACATAGCCATGTCTTTGGTAAGACTTATCTGTATTCTAGAGGAGATTTTTAATTGTCTGGGTGGACAGTGAAGTTTATGAAGTACTTAGGGATTGGTGATTAATCTTTAGAGAAATTGTGCCCTCTCAGGGGATGATGGACTAAAGGACACCACTGTGTTCTCTTTTCCGAAGCGTCATGGTCTTATACGGAAGACTGGCTTATGTATCATTGATCTGACCAAGATGACATTTTGTTTTTTCAAAAACATTTTTTATTTGTTCTTTTTAGATATACCAAGAAAACATTTTGCTTGTAAATGTGGCACTGAGTGGGGGAATTCACTTAAAACTATAGCCAAAGTGACCTGTGACTTTGAATGTCAAAGAGAGGATTGGAATGTAGCCTGAAAATGTATTCGTTATTAAGTGTGCCAGATACTACACTCAGTGTTTCTCTCTAAATAGTATTTTTATTGTTCCCTTGTTGCAGGTGAAAAAAATGGACTTAAATGGGGCTTGAAGGTGTAGTTCAGTGGTAGAGTACACACTTTGCTTAGACAGAACTCTGGGTTCAATCCCTAGCACTACCCCCCATCCCCACAAAAAAGAGGTTAAATGGAACTTGTTCAAGGTCTCACACAGAGAGTAAGTGGCAGAACTGTCTAACTGATTCCAGAACCCATGTGCTTTCCAATTTAGGAACTTAACAAATTGTGATGTACTTTTATCTGGAAAAAGGACTGGAAAAGATATTCTCAGTCCAGAGGAGGGGAAAGCCCAAAACAGAGAAGAGTTGCCCTCAGTACCTATGGCAAGGAACAGAAGGAGCTAAACCTGGCAGATAAAATGTGGGTCCCAGGGCAGGTTTCTTGGATGTGGGTTAGGGATGATTCCATAGGCCTCACTGGGTCTTGATAAATCTTCTTCACTTTGTTCTTGTCCCAGACCTGCCAGCAACATTTACATTAACCATTTGTTTTCATATATACCAAAATTATCAGAGCTGGATGCGGTGGTACATGCCTGTAATCCCAGTGGTTCCAGAGGCTAAAGTAGGAGGATTGAGAGTTTAAAGCCAGCCTCAGCAAAAGCTAGGCACTAAGTAACTCAGTGAGACCCTGTCTCTAATAAAATACAAAACAGGACTGGGGATGTGGCTCAATGGGTGAGTGCCCCTAAATTTAATCCTCAGTACCCACTCCCACCAAAAAAAAAAAAAAAAACAGAAAAGGAGGGCTTTGGATAGTGGATATGATCACTTTAGTCACTGGAAAGGACTGGTATTTCAAACCTTCATTCAGCCCAACTCTTCATTCTCTAACAGATTTCTATGTTAGTCTCAAGTTAGCTGGGGTAGGATGAGTTGGTTCCTCTGGTCTATTCAGTTCTAGGGTAGTGATAAGATCCAGTTTGCAAAGATGAGACCCACACTTTTGGTGGTGACATTGGCAGCAAGATGGAGGTTCTAGGGGAGCAATCACAGGGCCAGGTGCCAGCAATGAAGGTGGAGGCTGCAGGGTCATGCCCAGTAGTGGAGGTAGCAGGAGTATCTTACATGATATAGGAGTGTTCCATGATTTTGAATGCTATAGTATTATTTTAAGCTGGGTTTGGTTTTCCAGACCTCCTGCTGAATTTGAACTATCCATCCATTTACATTAACTCTGTTCCTTTGTCAGGATTCTAGACTTGTATGTTTATGTGCACATAGTCAAAGCAGATTAAGATTAGAAAACCAATTGAAAGGCTAACTAGGCCAGGCTGTCATAGCATCCTCAACCTGGTCTATTTTCACCTAGATTAGATTTTTCTTAGGATTGATGGTAGAAAATGAAAATGTTTTAGTAAGTTTTGGGTTGTTAAAATTGGTACAGTATTAGATACCATTTTGCTTTTAGTTATCACCTACTTTCTTTGCCTAATGGGAATTTTCCTAAATATTTCTGGGGAAAATTTAACTCTGCCAGAATTTATTGAAAAATACAACTCATCGGGCTGGGGATGTGGCTCAAGTGGTAGCGTGCTCGCCTGGCATGCGTGCGGCCCGGGTTCGATCCTCAGCAGCACCACATACCAACAAAGATGTTGTGTCCGCCGAGAACTAAGAAAAAATAAATAAATGTTAAAATTCTCAAAAAAAAAAAAAAAAGAAAAGAAAAATACAACTCATCCCCAAATAACATGGAGCTGGGGCATGGTTCAGTGACAAAGTTGCTTGGCATATGTAAGGTCCTGGATTTGATCCTCAGCACCAAAAAAAAAAAAAAAAAAAAAAACCAGAATGAGAACCTGTCAGGAGCTGCCACATGGGAACCGAGTGCCCCTTAGTTTTGAGTGATGAGAGTGGGGAGATGTGGCAAGCCAGCCATGGGCTGTGTGTGTGTGTGTGTGTGAACTATGAGCATTGAGTGCACAGGGTGGACTGAACTGATGTTGCTACTCTGTTTGGGCGGGTGATGTATCCATCTTTTTGCTCCTTCTGCCTATGATCCTCACACAGCCCATGAGATGGGCGAGACCTTCCTAGATGTCAGGCAACCTTCTGACAGCAAGACACACAGATCAACCCCCTGAAACCCTAAGCAAGACTCAGTCCCCTGAAACTGGTCCCCTTGCCTCATTTAAATGGCTTATCCCCAATAAAAGGGTTCAGTACATGCTGAACTAATACTGGTAGGCTCTCTTTCATGCCTGCCTTGCCCCCCTTATGGGAGCTGTGGCTGAGGAGCAGTCACTGAACCCAAAGAAAAGGTACTTTCTGTGTCTGTGTCTTTATTTATTCCCCAAATTCACTTGGTGTGACCCTGACTGGTTTAGTTGTGTGATGTGACAAGAACCTTAAACCATGACTCTATATAGCAGATTAGTAATGCCCAGTCATTACACCAGCAATCATTTTAGCTCTTTATTTCTATATGTACATTTCTTAGCACTATACACACATGGATTATTCCAGTTGGTTTTTGCCTTATTTCTTTGTTTTTATCAGTTTGCTATTTGGAACACTTGGAAATAGAGGAATGGTTAAAAGCACAGGAGAATGCGGATGATATACAGATTTGGATTTAATGTGGGAATGAAAGGGATGATGGGAAATGTTGCAGCTTTGTCATGGTTTCTATCAGGGATGTGACCATGTGGGAAACTTCCAACATTTCTTGTAAATAAAATTTTTTTTTTTTTTGGTACCAGGGACTGAATCCATGGGTGCTTAGCCATTGAGCCACTATCCACAGGCCTTTTTATTTTATTTTATTTTTTATTTTGAGACAGGGTCTTACTAGGTTGTTTACAGCTTTGCTAAATTGCTGAGGCTGACTTTGAACCTGTGATCCTCCTGCCTCAGCCTCCTGAGCTGCTGGGATTAAAGGTGTGTGCCATCATGCCTGGTCACAAATCAGATTTAATAAATGAAATAAAGCTGTGCCACTTGGCACTTCCACTGTGACCATAGCTCTAACATTAGTAATGTTGTGTACATTGCCTTTATTATTAGGTCACAAAAGATGTCATTAAAGAATTTGCAGATGATGGTGTCAAGTACCTGGAACTGAGGAGCACACCTAGAAGAGAAAATGATACTGGTAGAATTCAATTTCTTCTCAGTGAACATACTATCCATTTTCCGATGTATTTTAATGTACTTTTAGAAGTTGGGAGTATGAGCACTAACTTTTATACTATTGTTCTCTATTTTCATGGGGACCTTTCTGCCTCACTGAAGGCCTGTAGCACTAGGGCCAGTGAGCCAGAATATTATGGTGGGGAGCACATGATGGAGCAGAACTGCTCACCTCATGGTAACTGACATGTGGGAAGAGAGAGGGAAAGCAGGGTCCCAGTATGTCCCCCAGGGTCTTAGCCCTTAGTGACCTACTTCCTTCAAGTAGGCCCTACCTTCTGAGGTTCCACCACTTCCCAATAAAGCCATGTTTTTTCTCTTTCGTTTTTCTACATTACTTTTTTTTTCAAGTTTGTTAAGTTACAATTATCATTTACTAAAATGTATCCATAAAGGCTTTAACCATGCTCTGTTGTAGCATGAAGTGAAAATGTAATTGTTCATATAGGGATGCTAAAGTTGAAAGATGAAATAGTTGATGATCTCTTTATGTATGTTTCCTGTGTGTTCTTTTCAGGAATGACTAAAAAGACTTATGTGGAATCCATACTTGAGGGTATAAAACAGTCTAAACAAGAAAATTTAGACATTGATGTTAGGTAAGAAGATTGTACCTTAGTAGTTATCCATTAAAACAAACAAACAAAAAACACTAGAATGTGAAGTTTTTATATTTTGATCATAGATGTAATAAATTTTAAAAAATTTGTCCATTAACTGATTTCTACCTACAAGAGAAAAAAAAATAAAATCAAGACCTCTATTGTTTAAGATAAGACTACAATTCTGAATTTAGTCATCTGGCAATAAAATTCTGAGTATTTTTACTTAAGTGGAATATGGCTTCTCAGTGCTGTTAAGCTGATTTGGACTTTTTACCATGGCCCCCATGGTCCCTGTGGTCTTACTGCATCTGTTACTTTTACAGCTTATCTAGACCATTTATCCTCAATTACTACACACTGGTCTATGCTCTGTTCCTAAAATAGGCCAAAACTATCCCACTTAGCACCTTGTACTTCCTGCCATTTTCACTTTCCATCATATCCTTGTACAGCAGGCTTTTTCACATTATCTTCAGGTCTCAATTTGGTTGTCACTTCCTCAGAAGCACCTTCCTTAGCACTTTAAGTACCCTTCCCCCCCACAGCCCCCACCACACACACAAATTCTCCAGTCACCATCTGTTTCCTTTATGGCATTCTTTATAAGAGACACAGAATTATCTTGCGAGTTATTTGTGTACGTATACCCGCCCACCAGCATTTAAGTTCAGAGAGGCCAAAGACTTTGTCTTTACTTTACCACTATGTCTCCAGTACTTTGAAGAACAGGCAAATAGTAGGGACTCAGTAAGTCCTTGAGTGAAGAAAGAAGGCAAGTTAGCTGAAGAGTTTCAGGCTATAAGATCTCTAAAAAATTAAGCTTAATTAGACTAAAAGCCCAATGAAAGACCCAGCAGAAGACAAAAATACAATGAAGAAAAGAAATCATATAAAATATTTAACCTCATTAATTGGGTAATCTTAAAAGGGAATTACAGTATTGTTTCAGAAGTCAAAAAAAAATAGAACTAGTGTTTGTGAAGTTATACACTGCTGTTATTATTATACCATATGTAATTAATAAAATCTCTCAAAGAGCAGTGTGTATCAAGATTTTTGATGGTTTTTGCTCTGAACAGTAATGAATCATAAAGAAAACAGATCTAGAAATGGATTGTAAGGAAACAGATTAATTTGTGCATAAGACTTTATTGTAGTATTATTTTATAACAAAAAAGAAAATATCCTAAAATATCCAGCAATCAGAGGTCAATTACATTATGGTATGTAAATATTAGTTTTACTATTTTCTACCGTTACTTAATGGTACAGGAGATTGAGTGAAGGAAAAGACCCTGTATTTTCTATATAGTTGATCCAAATTTTGTAAATAAATGAACAAATGCTAAAGGAATTTATTTTGTGAATAAATAAATTAATAAATGCTGGAGAAAAATCACAACAATATTAGCAGGGATTCTTTGGGTATTTGAGTCCCATAGAATCCCAACTAATGTATGAAGAATGAATCAGATATTTGATACATTTTTTAATTAGAATTTATATTAATTTTGTACCCTAATGAAATAATGAATCTAAGCCTTCCTGAGAACACACTACACCTATTTATTCTTGCCAAAAATTGAATCTGTTCTGGTTAAGCCTCTAGACTAGATCCAATTATCAGTTTATAGGAAATAGAAGAGACAGTAGAAACATATTAACAAAGGATATAACCAACAAAATGAACAATCTGATTTTCTTCAATAAATAAATAGCAAGATAAGAGGTGGGTGGGACTGGGGGAAGTAGAGGAATGAGTGGCTATAGATTTTTAAAAAAGAGAGAGAGATACATTGACTAACTCAAGATGTATACCTTATTTGAATCCTGTTAAAACTGTAAAAAATCAAATAATAAATAAAACAAGTGAGACAATTAGAAATTTGAACACTAACTAGATTTTTTTAGTATAAAGATTGTTTTAATTTTAATCAAAAAGATTTTATCATCCAGATGTTCCAAATAGTTTATATTTTCAGATACAAACTAAGAGTTCTAACTAGGTATTTGATGCTATTTAAGAATTCACATCTCATTCTCCCTGGTGAAGTAAAATTTTATGTTGTCTAGATGCAGGCTTTATTTTCCCTGGTAATTTGTATTATATGTGGCCTGCTATACCTATCTAGCCACACTAGAGTTGTCTTTTTCATTTGCATCATTATAATTTTCATCTATTTTTCACATTTTAAAGATATTTGATGGCAATTGACAGAAGAGGCGGCCCTTCAGTAGCCAAGGAGACTGTTAAACTTGCTGAAGAGTTCTTCCTTTCTACTGAAGATACAGTTCTTGGCCTTGACCTCAGTGGAGACCCTACCGTAAGTTATTTTTTCTAAATATATTTTATTTCTTAATGTTAGAAGCATTCAGTGGGGTAAGCATTAACATGGAGCATCCTACCTTCTCCAGAGAGTCCAGCATATACTCTGTAAATGAAGCTTTGTTCTGCCTTGGATGACCAGAATGTCTAGAGCAGGTGTTCTCAGCTAAAATTCTGTGAAAGAATTAAGCATCATTAATTTTTTTTCCTCATTATATAACCATTTTCTCCATTCTTCTAAAGATAGTGCATAACTATTACCAGCTCATATGCATGAAAGAGAAGTTAGTTCATTAGGTACAGGGGATGGATGTCTTAAGAGTATTAGGGCTTATTTATTCTCATAGAATCCCCAGATAAGAACAGTTGTCCAGAGTTGCTTCAGTGAAAGATTTAAGCAGACGTTTTGACATTGGGGGCCAGATAATTCTTTGTTGTGGGCGCTGTCCTGAGCATTATAGGATGCTTAGTGCATCCCTGATCAATACCTAGTAGATGTCAGTAGCAACCTCCCATGTGACAACCAAAATGTCTCCAGCAAGTGCCAGATATTTTCTGGAGGGCAACATCATCTGGTTAAAAACCTCTGAATGATTAGTGTTCAATGAAACTGGTTCTGATGACTTTATCTAAACATGGACTATTCTGCATCTTGTTTTAATTTAACAGTTTTTTAGTAATCATAAAATGTTTCTGAATCAGATGAGTTCTCCTGAGCACTACATATTTAGATATCTTTCCAGAAATAAAATTTATTGACTGCATATCACGTTTAGCTGATTGACCTCAGGTTCAGTGATACTGGGCTTTAGAGGGCAAGGACTGTCCCTTTGTCAGCTTTGTATTCTCCAAAGTGTCTGGCACATTGTAGGTATTCTATAAAATGTGCAAATGAATTGGTCTGCCAATTATTTGTTTGTTGGGACAGAATATCCAGTTCCTCAGTTTGCCTAGAATTCCTATGTATCCTCATTTTAACTTTTATCTTCAAGATAGGACAAGCCAAAGATTTCTTGGAACCTCTTTTAGAAGCTAAAAAAGCAGGTCTGAAGTTGGCATTGCATCTTTCAGAGGTAAATAATATTGTTTTAGTAAAAGAGGGCAGATTCTAATAGAATATAGTAGTTATTTGTGAGTAAAAATAAACCTGGCTTAGAAAAACATTTTTGAAGGGGAAATGTAGAAATATTTTTAGTTGTAGATTTTTATATTTTGGGCACTAGAGATTAAACCCACAAGTGCTTAATCACTGAGCCACATCCCTAGGCCCACTTTTTTAAAATTTTGAGACAGGCTCTCACTGAGTTGCTTAGGGCCTTGCCTAGTTGTTGAGGTTGGCCTTAAACTTGTGATCCTCCTACCTCAGCCTCCTGAGTTGCTGGGGTTATAGGCATGTACCACCACACCCACCATGAAATATTTTTATTTATTTATTTTTCTTTTTTCTTTTATTGGTTGTTCATAACATTACAAAGCTCTTGACATATCATATTTCATACATTAGATTCAGGTGGGTTATGAACTCCCATTTTTACCCCAAATACAGATTGCAGAATCACATCGGTTAAACATCCACATTTTTACATAATGCCATATTAGTAACCATTGTATTCTGCTACCTTTCCTATCCTCTACTATCCCCCCTCCCCTCCCCTCCCATCTTCTCTCTCTACCCCATCTACTGTAATTCATTTCTCTCCTTGTTTATTTTCCCATTCCCCTTACACTCTTATATGTAATTTTGTATAACAATGAGGGTCTCCCTCCATTTCCATGCAATTTCCCTTTCTCTCCCTTTTCCTCCCACCTCATGTCTCTGTTTAATGTTAATCTTTTCTTCCTGCTCTTCCTCCCTGCTCTGTTCTTAGTTGTTCTCATTATATCAAAGAAGACATTTGGTATTTGTTTTTTAGGGATTGGCTAGCTTCACTAAGCATAATCTGCTCTAGTGCCATCCATTTCCCTGCAAATTCCATGATTTTGTCATTTTTAGTGCTGCGTAATACTCCATGGTGCATGAAATATTTTTAAATGTAATTAATGGTAAGGGCTCGGTGTGGTGGTATGTACCTGGCTGAGGTTTCTGGCTGAGTTACACACCTTAGTTTCTGTTGCACAGTAGTTTCTATTGCTCCTTTGAATTGTAACATTTCATTTCAAAATGTTCTGATCATTTACCTTTTGGGGCCTTTGGGCTGTCTAGGAGATAAACAGTACAGATGGATATTTTAATGGTAATTGTGGTAGTAGTGAGCTTTGTCAAAGTAGAACATGAGCACATTGTGTGAGAAATGTCTGGGCCCTGGAATCAGATGGAGTTAGGTTTTACCCATAATCTCTACCATACACTAGCTCTAGGCCCTTGAACAACTTAAAAAATACTTTATATTTTTAACTACAAAATTTTTATTTATCTGAAGAAATTTCAAGTGTAGGGAAGTATAATACAGAAGGAAAAAACATTAAAATGAAAGTCCCCTTCTCATTTCCGTTTTGCTCCTCAAAGTTAATGCTGTTAACAGTTTTGTTTTTATATTTCTCTAAATCTTTTTTGAATATCTTTGAACATATAGACATAACACAAAACACATATGCATACAGAGTTAGGTGTTTTGTTTTTTGAAAATTTTCTGAGTTTTAATTTCTTCATCTTAACACTCTGTAATCATAAAATGTTATAAGCTTTAAAGAATTGATATGGAATGGCACAAAGTAAGGTTGTAGTAAGTTTAAGTTTATTGTTATTACTGAAATTAATGTAGAATAATATTGAGGAATAAATAAAATAAAAGGAAGAGGGGTTGTGAATATAGCTCAGTAGTAGAGTACCTGGCCCTGTGTTCAATCTCAGCACCAAAAAAAGAACAGGAAAAAGAAAGGTGCCGGGCACAGTGGCACAAGCCTATAATCCCAGCAGCCTGGGAGGCTGAGACTGAGGATCATGAAGTCAGCCTCAGCAATGATGAGGCACTAAGCAACCCAGTGAGACCCTGTCTCTAAGTAAAATACAAAACAGGGCTTGGGATACAACTCAGTGGTCAAGTGCCCCTGAGTTCAAATCCTGTGGTACCGGGAAAAAAAAAAAGCTACCTATGTTAACTACACAGAGGGACAAGAGTACACAGTATAGGAAAAAAAAATTAGTAAGAACAACTGAAAGAGATCATTAATCCCTTTTTCTTACTTTTCTGAAGATTCCAAACCAAAATAAAGAAACACAAATGCTCCTCGATCTACTTCCTGACAGAATTGGACATGGAACATTTCTCAACTCCTCTGAGGAAGGATCCCTCAATCTGGTAGATTTTGTGAGGCAACACCAAATCCCACTAGGTAAGGCTTAGGTTTCAGGTCTCTCAGACAATCCTCTGGCTCTTTGTCCCTCAACCCCCAGGTTGCAAGCCCTAAATGGAAAAGTACTGTTCTAAAATTATAAATATCATATAGAAATTCAAAGAATCATTGGATGTATGTTTTCTGATCCTCATTTAAGTGAGAGTTTTTAACTCCTGTTAGAATGTAAGCTCCATGACAGTGGGTCCCTCTCTATTCACTGCAATAATCCTCAGTAAGTATTTTTTGAAGGACTGAGGGTCACCAGGATTTTGAAAATAGCTTTTATGAAATTGACATGTTTCATAAAATATGTGGCATTTATTTAAAAACTAATTATGGAAAATTCAAAAAATATATTTTTACATGTCTGTTAACTTTACTCACTTGATGGTGTATGTACTTATGAAGTGCCTACTTTGTTGTTACTGTTCTTAAATACTGTTAATAGAGCAGTAAACAAAACAGACAGGGTTTCTTTCTCAAGTAACTCCTGTGGAGAAAAGATAGTAAGCAAATACATAAGAAAATATCACTGTTAAGTTCTATTAAGAAAATTAAACTGGATGATAAAATAGTGATCAGATAACCACTTTCTTGATGATCAGAGAAGGTCTTTCTGAAGACGACAAGAAGTGAATACCTACAAATCATTTTACTGAATGGTCAATTTGCTAAATTTACAAACTGATCAGTTTACAAAAAACCTTTGATGTATATTTTTAAACTATTTATAGAGTTTTTAGCAATTCATAGTGAGATTTTTTTTCTTTTTATTAAGACTTTTAAATATCCACAAAAGTAGAGAGAATAGAAACTTCTTTCATAATGATCTTATTTGGTGTGGTGGCCCAGCTAAGTGAGGGAGCATCACCTGGACTCAGTGGACCTGTACTGAGGCTTCTTTCTTTTTTTTTTCTTTTTTATTATTTTTTTT